AAAAGATCTACAGCTGCCCTGAATGGGACCTAGAGGTTACTATTTGTAGGTACTACCTGTCTACTAGGTTGGCGAAATGCCTTTTTGAGTCATGCTTTCAGCTTAGTCATTTTTTTGTACACTATATGGTCAAACTCTCCACATTATTGACTGCAGGTGCACTAAGCCAGGGCTCAAAATTTCAAGTCCTGAGCTACTAGCCAGGCCTTAAAAGTTACTCGCCACCAGTTGCCCCACCTAACCCCTACCCTGCCCCGGCCTTAACTCCGCCAGGTCAGCGGTGTGATGCACAGTACAGAGGTACTGCGGTACAGAGATCCTCCATGTATCCTCTTTTCCGCCTGCATAACGTTCTGGCCGGGTGTCTCACTGTCTCTGCAGTCTTCCTCCCAGCCTATGGCAGCTGAACTGGGTGGAGGAAGCTGCAGAAGACAGCGGAACTGAATGTCATCGAGGGGGTGTCATCGAGCCGGCGGGACCAGGGGTGGGACACTTCCGCCGCAGCAATCTTTGGCTTCTGTTCTCTCTTCTCCTTCTCGGCCGCTCTGTAGCTGCAGCTACAGAGGAGTAGAAGGGAGAACAGAAGCGAGCAATCGTCGCGGCGGTAGTGTCCCATCTCTGGTCCCGATGGCGGCGCACCCCCTTGATGACATTCCACTTGCCCCCACGCAATTTTCACTTGTCAATTGCGTGGGGACGAGTGGAAATTTTGAGGCCTGATATATATATGATCTATAGGGGCCCCTCGTCCGTAGAAAGTACCCCCCCCCCCAGTAATGATGGGGATATACAATCTATCGGGGCCCTTCACCTGAACAAGGTCTTCTCCCCCCCCAGTAATGATGCACAGCGTGGTGTGTGTATATATGGGGGGGGGATATATACTGTATAATCTAAAGGGGCCCCTCCCCTGTAGAAGATCCTCTCTCCCCCCACTAATGTACAGTGTGTGTATATGGGGGGGGGGATATATATAATCTATAGGGGCCCCTCACCTGTAGAAAGTCTTCCTCCCCAGCAGTTTCTCGCATCCTCCGCCTCAGTGCCCCGGCAGATATAGTCCCCTCGGACTCCAAGGATCTTCCCCCAGAACAGGACCCCAGACAACTTTGCGTTCCGGCAGATGAGCAGGAGGAATGTCCGTAGGGCAGCGCTCTGTTCCGAGCTCAGTCCCATACCAGAGCCGTACACCATCTCCATCCCTAGCAGCAGCCCGTCCACCTCCATTTCTCCAGGATGCCCGTCTGTGCACTCTCTATGGCGACGCGTCCTGTCTCCAGGAAGTGAGGTCACAACAACACATCCCGTATCCAGGAAGTGACGTACCTAGCTCAGCAACACTGTCCTGGCGCATTCTATCTATTGCGGACCGCCTTTCTCGGTGACGTCACCCTTCTTTTCTCGGGCAGTGTCACGGGGTCTAAAAGCACTGGCTGCCCTGAGCTGTCAATGACTACATCAGTCATTATACATTACAGTTCTGTTCTCTCTGCAGCGGCCGAAGGAGAAGAGAGAACAGAAGCGAGCAATCGTAGCGGCGTAGTGTCCCGTCTCTGGTCCCACTGCCGGCACACCTCCTCGATGACATTCCACTCGCCCCCACGCAATTTTCACTCGCCAATTGCGAGGGGGCGAGTGGAAATTTTGAGGCCTGCACTAAGCCATGTCCATGAAGACATGCTGTGATTAGTCTGGTGTTGAAGAACTCTAGTGCCCTGAACAGGGTCCTGATCTCAACTCCATTGAATAGCTTTGGGTTGAATTGGAACACCTATTGCAAGTCAGGTCTCCTCATCTAACATTTGTACTCAACCTCACAAATGCTCTCTTGGCTGAATGGGTGTAATTCCCCCCCAGACATACTCCAAATGTCTTGTGGAAAGCCTTTCCAGATCGGTGGAGGCTGTAAATCTGACCATACAATTTACGAATATCGTCCGATTTTCGTATGCGATCGCGTTTTCGTCCGATATTCGTAAGGTAGATGGGCAGTGTACAACCGGAAATACTGTACAATCGATCAACTTTTAACTAACCAGCAGGTTAGAAAACTTCGGCCGATCATACGATTTTTGCAAGGTTGGTGGTGTTTCCGTACGTCAAAATTCGTACGATTTACACTGCACATGCGCAGACAACAATACGTGCGGTCCAGGTGCTATCTTTTATTTACTGCTGATTCAACCTTGCGATAATCAGGGCAGGATAGGGCCGCCATACGCAAATCGTACGACGGTTCGTTAATCGGACGAAAAGTTTCGTCCGATGATCACAAGGTGTATGGGCAGCTCTATAGCCACAAGTCAGGGGGTGGGGTCAGCAACTCAATATTAATGACCATGGATGAGTGATGGACAGGTGTCTCATTTGGCTATATAGTGTATGACACTATGATGATACTCCCATCACAGGACCCAGACCTGTAGGGGTCCTTTATACAAGTGTGTGGTTTCCACACTTATTTTCTTTTGCAACTGAGAAGTCTGTTTTAATTATGATTTTAGAATAGATGTTAAACTATGTCAACCTTGTGCTAACTGCCAAACCTGAGTACTGGCAGTTGGTTCTCTGAACAACAAACAGCTAAAAACACCATCCATGCAATGAGTGACACACACGTGTACCAATCTCCAACTACATTGTGTAAACGTTCTTCATTGATGTGAAGCGTAGTGCAGCTTCCTTTGTTAACACACATTCTCTGGCTAGCAATTAACAGGGCCTGAGGCAGAAGTCTTGAAGGTAATAGCTGACTTTCTAGTGAGGGAAATGTCTATAGTGTGAAGAAAGAGGAAATTGAAGGTTTCACAAGGCAGCTGTGGTGTCTGCACAGAGGTTCACTGCAGTTCCAGGTGGAAGCCAGACGTTCTTTTCAATGAAGCTAAATACTTACTATACAGAGGTCCACAGGCTTTTCAATTTTCACAGCAATTTGTGAAAAGGTAAAGACTAGAACTTCACAGAAACAACATCTGCTTCTCCATGTCTATGGCTCTCTTTTAATAGAGTTTTCCAGATATTTCAGGTTTCTTTTAATCATTAGTATGTTAAATATTCCTCCAAGCAACAGACCTGTTTCACAGAAACCTTATGTGATTTTTTCATTAAAGAGTTGTCGAGAAGGTTTATTTATATTTCAGATATGTGATGGATAGCTGTGTGCCACTGTAGTAAGGGAAGGCTGGCTATATATAGCGGTTTTGGGAACTCCTAAAGAGAAGAAGCTTGTTGACAGCAGTATAATAGAAATCCAGGGCGAACAGGAACAGAATTATGAGCAACAGGGCAGGCACATAGGAAGGCAGTTACCAGGTGAGATCAGACAGGAGAATATCGCATTGCCAGTTCATGGCATCTGGAGTGTCTGGTCCCCACAGCTGATGAAGGTAGGGGTGGACTTCTGCTGTGAAAAAAGTCCCAGACAGACAGAAAGTACACAGCTGACTGACAGAGCAGATGGCGTCATAACCAAAAGCAACAGGATACACATACAGACAGGATCAGAAGCTCAACTTATAAGGTCAGATGACAGGAGCAGATTAAAATCTACAAAACAGAAGGACCTTAATCAAATGTGGAACATACTGAGTACAAGTATCGATATTTATCTTTCGGTACTCGCTGATACCGAGTACAGATACCGGTACTTCTGGTAGCATAGAGCCGACTTCCCGGGCAATCAGGAAGCCGGGTGGCGTGTCATTACCCGCCGTCCTGCTTCTTGATTGCCTGGGAAGCCGGCTCAATGCTGTTTGACCAGTTCCATTCTGATTGGCAGGGAAGCCAGCTTCCCAGCCAATTTGCACTGAGCCGGCCAAACAGCATGGAACAGGCTTCCTGGCCAGTCAAAAAGCTGGATGGCAAGTCATTACTTGGGGGTTTCCATTAATTACCCTATACTGTATAGACAAGGAATGGTGTGTTGAGGTTTTTTTTTTACTCATACAAATATTGTATGTGTAGCAGACAGAATTTTTTAGTTTTTCCTAAATTACAAAAATATATGCTAAGTAAACGTATATACTATAATGTGACACATTTAATGATGACAACTCTTTATTATAATAATAACAAAACTCAATTAAAAAAAAATATTCTACTTTAGTGCAAATGAAGCATTCAATCTACATTACATCCTAATGCAGATATAATGGCTGGAGGGAGTTAGGTGGTGGAATTCCATTATCAGATGGAACACTGAAGCAACAAAATATTGTTAAAGATACAAAGGTTTAGGATGTCTACAGGATAAAATAATTGTGGTGGGATTGTGTTACTCGGTACATTAAATCAGGTTCCTTTTCTTTATCAGACCTCCAAAACCAGCACTGTTGTAGCATGACCTGCATGTACTAACAATATGTACCCACGAAAGCTTACATGTAAATGTTTGTCATTTTTTATGAAATTGGGATGTACTTCTTTAAAGTGTTGAAAGAAGTGAAAATTGTTATGTCTTTTCGTGCCACAGGTATTTCTGGCATGTGGCATCACTGATGTATGTAAAAAAACATTTAGATAAGGGAAATAATGCTTCCTGACCACTTCCTCCCTGTGTGTTTTTTTCATGAAACAGTGTAACAGTCTCTTTACCCCTTTTAAAGTTCTTCTAAACAGGTAAATGGGGATAAGGTTTCCTATGACTACATAATGGCAGCATATCACAGGCCAAGTTAGGTTATGGAACTCTAGCGCCATCGCCATTTTTAAAATTCTTTTGTCCTGTACAATATAACAAGGGGCTACATTCTAATTATCCTGTGTAGATTTTTCTTTGTTATAATCTATGTGTCTTATGACCACAGGCATAAACTACAGACAGAAATGTTAAGTGACTCATCATCCATAAAACTTTGACTTTTTGACTTTAGATAAAAGCACAAAATTGGTGGAAGTAATTTTTTTTTACAAGTGTATAATCTGTTTCTTGAGGCTACAGTCATGGATAAAGTAACACCTGCAATCGGAAACAGAAGAAAGAAATAGAAACGTTTCATGACATGCAACTATCGAACTGTGTGAAACAAAGGGGGTTATCCACTTCGCTGCCGAAGGTAGCCGAGTGAATAATCGAGCCGAAGTGACGTGAGCCAAACGCTGTTCGGCTATTTACTTATGGATTTTACGGCTGATTTCAGCCGTACAACGGCTACAATCAGCCGTCCATCGGCTGCATGTTTGTTAATAATGAGAGAGCTGTTTGTTACACGAACCCTCCAGTCGCCTATGACTTGCTGTTGCCATGGGAACCTCGACAGCTGGATTGGTCTACCACCACGGCCGTGTCAACGGTGCCCGATCTCTTCCCTCGATGTAACGCTTTGTTGCATTTTGTCAGCCTGTCATTCCCAACGTGTTACCAATATCAATTGTAATTTTCATCCACAACTTTAAAATTGTTTCTATTGTTAATATCCAGCTGTTTACTTTTCACTGTTATGGTGGGCATGACGTCATTATGACATCAGTGAGTATCCTGATTGGTTGATTCCACTTATCTGCTGGTCTATATAATGTTATGTGATTTTGAGCACAATGTCAATGCTGAACCTGATGAAGGAAACCCTGCGCAGCCCCGAAAGAGCTTGTTCTGATGACATGACGCTCTAAATTACCTAGCACTTTGGACTACAATACTCTTGGTGTGCTGGTGACATCCATTTATCTATATTGTCTGGCGGCATCATCCGCAGTCACTACAAGCACACCCCCCCCCCTCATTTGATTGGGGTTTTCCGGTAAGGAGTGCGACAAGGCAACTTTACGTTTGTTCCTTGGTGCAGGCAACAAGCACATCTCTGCTTCAAACAATAATCATCCTGTACTTGCGTGGGTTTTCTCTGGATACTCCGGCTTGCTCCCACACTACAAAGACATGCTGGAAGGTTAACTGGCTCCTGTCTAGATTGGTCCTGTATGTATGAATGTGAGATAGAGACCTTCTATTGTAAGCTCCTTGAGGGAAGGGACTGATGGGAATGTGCAAGTATGGAAATCGCTGCCGAAATTGTCAGCTTTATAAATACCTGTAATAAATAAATACAAAACACACACTGTTCAAAAACTCCTCTCTCCAACCTTTAACGTGTTTCACTGTGTAGGCTTAACGATAGAGAATATTTAAGACTAAATTGTGAAGCGCGTTAGTGATTGAGGAAGGGAGTTTTTAGACTTATATTTTCCGGTAAAAGATCCTGTGGAGTGCAACATTATTGAACTCAGTTAATTTGCTGTTTCTTTTTTATTGTGAGCTCCAGTAATATCTTCAGATTGAAAGGATCAGTTAATCAACTGTTATTTTCTAGATGTTCAATGAATGGTCCATTACTGAGGGGAATATACTGTGTGTGATGGTAAGTATTTTCCTTAATCCAGAAGCAAAGAATTGAAAAAGATTTTACTTACTACTAAATGGCCCAAAATTGGTTACATTACTTTTTAAACTACAGCACAACAATAGACACAGATTAATCACTATCCAGATTACACATTTATCTCTGTGGTTCTTTTTTGAAGTTCTTCAAACCTGATTCTCACCATTCAGTGCAGTACAAGTAGCAGTCTAATGCAGGCATACTATTCTGCAATGGGAATCCCAGTCTTGTGGTTCCATGCAGGATTCTCTTTCAGATCCACTGTCATGGAGAGATTATACAACTGCAGAATTTGTTTTCAGCCAATGCCTTTATTGAAATCATATAAGAACTTTATTCTATGTATCATCAGATCGCTTGTAGTAAGATTTCCTTTATCTTGCACATTGCACTCTCTCCATGTACTTCTTGAATCTTCTGAAATTTCAAATTACTTAGACCTTGAACGCCTTTATTTTTGAAGGTATTCAAGACATGATGGGCCTCCATCTTGGAGCATGTATCACAGCAATGGATACACAGCTATGCCCCATGCCTTTAGGGAGGAATGGGCTATCTCCAGTACCTGTACTCAATTTATCCATTGCTATTATATGCTCCAAGATGGAGGCTCTCATAGATTACAGTTAGGACCACACTACACAGAAGAGCCTTGACGAAAAGTTGTTAAAATATTTCCTCTGTTTTTAACAAAAATTGCTAGACAGTGTATTTTTTTGGGAGAGGGCAGGCTATCTTGTAAGTGTGCTGAGAAATGTTTGTGTTTCTTCTGTCAACTATCCTAGACCTGTTTTTATACCAAAAGCACAAATGTATTAGTCCAATTATTTAACAGAATGCAAATAAAAAATATAAAGCAAAAGTATACACATACTAATAAAATACGCACAGAAAAGAACAGAAACACAGACAGAAAGAAAATAAACTAATGTACCCTAAATGCAACTCCCCCCCACCCGAGAAAAAAAAGCAAAAATATGCAGTTTCATGTGTGAAAATGAGACCTTCCACTTTGACCAAAAAATCCCTTATAGTAAAATGAATCACTCAACAGCAGCTGTGCAGGAAGTCTAAATATGACTGTACACTCCAAAAGGAACCGGAGTTGAAAACTATGGCCCAACTTTTTTTTCGCCATAGTTCTCTTTAGGATCACAGGAGGACATATACTAATATCCTTCTATGACCAAAAACTCAGCACATAGTGGGCAATTGTCCGCTGTATGCTGACAGGGCAGAGCAGCGCTGCAGCCAGGATGGATCCCGATAATATTGTCAGGATCTACCCCGCTGCCTGATTGACAGCTGGCTCCACCTCTCTAGAGCCAGCTGTGCCTGCCCCCTCCCCTGTCTGTCCCTCCAATGAGCGCCGGAACAGAGAGGGGAAGGGAGAATTCCTGCGGGGACCCATGACAGTCACTACTCTCTGCAGGGAGTAGACAGTGAGCGATCAACGATAACATGGTAATTCATGGTGGGACAGCTGCAGTGTCCCACAATGACTCTGAGTATTGGGAAGAGTATATTTTACTCTCCTAATACTTGCCCTTTAATTGCGTCATAGCAGTACTCTTGAAAAATCACCTTTTGTCTTGAATTACTCCTGAAAAAAAATGGAGAGGGGAGGGGGGAATCCCTGTGGGGATCGGTGACTGATAGTCCCCACTCTAAGCATGGAGAAGATCGGAAACTGAGCGATCAGCTGTATGTGATCGGTCAATACTCGATCAATAGGGCCAATCGGTGACAGCTCCATTGTTACACTTCAGCTCTAATTATAGGGATGAGTGTATTTCCCCATAATTCTCCTTTAAACCTGGTGCACTTTGCAATGTAACCAGACTGGTCTGACACACCTCTCCTCCTCTCTACAATATACACATGGACACATATGATGTGGGGTGTGGATATTACTAAGCACTGCCAGCACAGAACACTGCAGTGTGAGGGCTGGAAGCAGCATTTTCAACTAATTTTTAACCACTTCTGTACTGCCATAAAAAAAATGGAGGGGAGGTGGATGTGTATTTCTCTAGCGCTGTTTTAAATGTAAGTTTTAAAGAAAGTAAAGAAAGCAAACCCATAAGTAATGAAATACCACCATGAGAACACTCTAGCTCAAAAAAATCATAGAAAACTATTTGGATACAGTGTTGCTAACTGTGAGTCATACTATCATAGTGCTAATAACTGAAAAAATGGCCTGGTCACAAATTATAACATTTGGGGTTACAGGACTATAAGGATCTAAAACATTGTGAGACTTCAGACGAGCTTTAACATAATTCCCATTTAGCATGCGCTGAGTAATAACTGGAAACAGTCTTTGTGAATATATTAAATATATACTGTATATTAAATATTCCAGTCTGCTTGTACATTTAGCTGGCCTAAATCAGAAATCTTAGAATGTGTCACCAGTTAAGAACTAACTCATATTTGTATAAAAACCACATCCTGTGTTGTATAAATAGGCAATATATTGCAGTAGTATTTGTGTACATTGATAAAAAATCTCTATAGTTACAAAACCACATATCCGGAAGCGGCAAAAAAATCAAACATTCTGTAATATTTCAAGTAATGCATGGGCCTCAAGGAAAAAATATATGTTAACCAAATAAATGAGTTAACGCTCAGCATTTTATATTTTTACATTTTTATAAATAACCTATTGTTCTTAAAGTGATGGTCCAACTTTTTCTGGATAGAGTAGAGATTAGAACCACTGACATTGTCTACACTAGTAGATCTGCACTGCTGGGGAGATTTCCCCTTGCTTCATTTAGCAAGTCAGGGGTAATAAACTAGAATAATAGCACCAGATATGTTTGTTAAAAGCACAAGTAAATCTGTGTATACCCTTTATTGAACCTAAAGTGTATATTTGTAAACCCTAATAATAAACTATCATCTGCTCCACCAGGTGAAAATAAAGGAAAAAAACCTAAAAAATGAAAACTAATGCAACCACCACATCTAATGAGTGGTAAGCTGCACTATATTAAAGTTTTGTTCCTAAGTCTAGATACACTTTAGGTGCACACTGTGTGCCTATGTTGACATACCTATTAACAAACGGCTAAGTACAGTACAACTGATTAAAGTTACCTATAACCGTTGTATCTGAACAATTACTACGCAAATGAACAACACTCTGACTTTGTATAAGTACAAAATGAACAGAACTGAAAAGTACTAACCACTGGGATGTTGATTTACCAAGTAGGAAAATCATCACGTGACTCCTACTACAGTGTGTTGATAAATAAAACACTAAGGATACATTAATTCCCCATTTAATTGGAGGCACAACAAGGTAGAAAAATCCAAGCAACAGCACTTTCAACTTTTGCATGTCAGCTTATATACAGATGAGCAAGTAAATGAAAATCCTTTTCACCAGAGATTCTCAGAGTGAAGTCCATCACCTGCTTCAGCTTGAAAATATTTGATACTCCTGATGTATTAGTGAACTGTTAAGAAGTGGCCCAAGGCATTGCCTACTAGTTCACTATTGGAAAAAGCAAGCAGAAAGATAAGCTCTCTTCCACTAGACATATAAGAAACTGTGCGGCTTCTTACTGCAAGGGACAAAAGAGAACTTTTATATGCTTGTTGACCAAGGTTTGCTTTGAAGGACCCATGGCATGTGAGGCCAACACCCTCGGAAGGTGACATAGGCTCTGAGGTGCGGAGTCTAAGCACCAGCTCCTAGTGCTAGAAATGGGTTTCATTGCTTGCTGGTATTAGGTCACAGTCCTCAGAAGCCTAACTGCATGGATTCAGGCACATCCATAAGCGTTGAGGAAGCAGTAGTCTTGTCACTGGTGATTGAAAGGCATGGAAATCCTGAGGGATGATGAGTAGCCATCTTCTTTTTTCTCTGCTCTCTAAGGCGACGGGCCAGCTTGTCTTTAAGTGGTTCCTAAATGCCAA